GATGTGTTTTCCGAGCTATGCATGACCCACTACATTCATCATTACAATATATATACCTGGCCAAAATCTCCGAGTGAGAGAGTAAGCAAGATGAATGTATAATGTTTGGAAGAACCAGAAAGCAAACACTTGAGTTAAAATTAACTGCAGCTAAATGTTTAAAGAATCCCACGACAGTCCTAAAATGCAGCCAAAGCTGCGATAAAACAAAGAAGTGGCATTATCTCGTGACATCTGTGTAAAATGAGGACGCCGGAGCCCGGTCCGTTCCGCCAGTAGAATATGTATAGGTTAGAGCCCAGGCCACTTAGAATGTGGATTGGATATGATGCAACATGGATTGCTGTATTTACTATTGATTTACATCCCCACCAAAAGTGCACACCTCCAGCATATACTTTTCAGGTGAAAAGAAAACAAAAACACTACTACAGTTAAACCTCGTTATAACAAAATTGGAGGGCCGCCGCTATTTGCTCGTTATAACCAATCTTTTGTTATAGCCATAATGGGCATTTACCGCAAATATTATGCACTGTACTTACCCCAAAAAAATAGCGGGCGAAATAGCATCCCGCCGCACGGTGGTATGCAACAAAATAACTGCATTCCCAAATAAAAAGGAAAAAGTCATGCACCTGTTTTAATGCACTTCAAAATAAATAGCTTGCATTTCAGGCAGACTTAGCTGCAAAGAAGTCCGTAATTGGACGCTGATGCATCTTCCTGATGCGAACGATGGCTCGCTCAGATGCGGCCACAATGTTCAAGCCATCTTCGCCGCCCTCGTGAGCGCCGAAGTAGCGGCGCAGTACGCCCACCGCGTCTAATGCCTCCGACGCCGTCGGCACGTTTGTCTCCTGTTTGTCGACAGAGTCATCGTCACTGGTTTCGTTACGATCACTGACAGCGCGCACAATATCGTCATTAAGGAGCTGCTCCGTTGCCACCACTTCTGAGTCCACACTCACATAGTCGCAAAACGACTCGTTGTCAGGCACGACACCGGCGTCACGAAGTGCCGTCCATGATGCAGCGACTTCGTCTGATGTGGCGAAACCGTTCGGCACAGTGGGCTCGTCTGATGGCTCATCGCTGGCGTCTGGTGCGGCGGCAAATGGGGCGTGTCGAAAGCAGTTTGCGATCGTGGTCGCCGTCACACTCATCCACGCCGCCTGAAGCATTTCGAGTGCAGCGTACAAGTCAACATCGGTGTCTCGCTTCATCCTCATGTTGAGCAGGAGCTTGTCTATCACACGCTTGCAATAACCTGCCTTCAGCGACATAATCACGCCTTGGTAAAGCGGCTGTATTTTTGCTGTGCAGTTGGCAGGAAGAAACAGCAGCTCGATGTTTTGAAGCACGGCAGCGGTATGGTGGGCGGTGCAGTTATCCAAAACAAGGCACACCTTGCGGTTCGCCTTTGCCAGCTTCTCGTCCCATTCGCAAAGCCATTTTGAAAAAATCTCCCTGGTCATCCAGGCTTTGCGATTGGCTACGTACTTGACTGGGAGCTGCCTCTTCCCCTTAAAGCTGCGAGGGGATGCACTTTTGCCAATTACGAAAATTGGCAGCTTCTCAGAGCCGGTCATGTTCGCACAAAGTAGCGCAGTGATCCGCAGCTTACTTTGTTTGCCGCCATGGCACGGCTCGCCTTTGAGGGTTAACGTCTTGTGCGGCAACATCTTGAAAAAGAGAGCGGTTTCGTCCGCGTTAAAAATATCCTCCGCGCTGTATTTTTCTAGCAGCCGCACGATGTTTTCTTTCGCCCACTTGGTAGCCTCTGCTTCGTCGACAGATTGCGATTCGCCGCAGACCGCTCTCCCGACAATGTCGTGGCACTCCTTGAAGCGTTAGAGCCAACCCGAACTTGCTACGAAGTTGTCATAGCCCATGATGCAGGCAAAGTCTCTCGCTTTTCTTTGCAGCAAGGCGCCGCTTACTGGCAGATTCATGGCCCGCGTGTCCAAGAACCATTTAAAAACGGCCCTTTCTACTGCTTCAAAGGCAAGTGCCCTCATCCTCTTAGCGCTTCCTTTCACGCCACGTGCAACAACATCGATCATGGACTCCTGCTTGCTCAAGATGGTTAACAGTGTGCTCGTCGATACGCCAAATTCTCTTGCCACGTTGCCTTTCTTGGTCCCCGATTCGACGGCTTTTATCATAGCTGCCTTCTGATTTAGCGTTATGCGCTTTCGCTTCCCGCCTGGCGCAATCATGTTGCTGGAATCACGAGCGCAGCACGATAAAAGATAAGGCGGAAGTGGTCGAAAAAGAGAAGAAACACGCACGCAAAAGCAACACGGCTCACGTCGGCGAGCGACAACACTTGCAGAGAAAGTGACTGTGAAGAGGAAAGGGCAGAAGGGACGCTCTTTTGCGCTGCCCTCTAGGAACCGATTACTCAAAGGGAAGGGGGTATATAAGTTTAGGAAGCGCACCTTAGCGCCATGAGAAAGGAGAGAGGTAGAATATAAAGAAGACACAAAAGAAAAGAAAAGGGCGAGACGTTCACAGAGCTGTGGAGCGCTCCGCTGTCGGTGGTAGCCAAGCGGCGCACGTGCAGCGACCTCTCCTCCAGAAACAGCGCGTGCCGTCTGCTTTGCGCCCGTTGCTGGAGGGCGCGTGGCGGGAGTTTTGAACTGCTAAATACAGTTCTCGCGTTGCGCGCCGTCTCAAATTCGCGTTGTGCACTGTCGTGACATCGGCTCAAAATTTTACTTTCTAACAAATTTTGTTCGTTATATCCCATAACAGGCAAATTTTGCCTCGTTAAAATGAGGTTTTGAATACATTGGTTTGTATGGGGACTTTCAACGGGAATTAGGATTTGCTCGTTATATCCATTATTTCGTTATAGCTCGTCTCATTATAACGAGGTTTAACTGTACTCGCGTATTCTGTGCACTTTGCATTGAACAATGACTAACAACGTCTCAAGAGTGGAGCCTTACTGTATAATTTCCTTTTTTCATTCCTTTCTTTTCCACAATGGGCACATGCCTGTTGATGTTTTATTTCTCTGAACTAACATTTTGACAAAGGCCTCAGATACCTGCAATGAAAGCTAGGGGTAGCGTTTAAAGCAATGACGTTTGAACATGTGCTGGCCAGAAAAAATCTGTCAGGGTGCAACAGCTTCCTGGATTCCATAAATTTATGACAGATTCTGGCGGGTTACCTTCGTTTGTGTACTCATCTATGGATATAAGGCTAACAAGTAATCACAGATTTAATATTACCATCTCAAAAAACTGAAATGAGAAATTTAGATGAAGTTACCCAACTCTACCCTTGAAATGTGCGCTACCAGCAATAATTGTGTAGCTGAGGACGTTTGCAGTTGCATAGGCAATAATAATAATAATAATAATAATAATAATAATACTAATAATAATAATAATAATAATAATAATAAAAGGCATGACATAGCCCAGCAAGCCTCTACCAAATGGCAGGCCTAGCCGAACCAGAAAGCCTTCAAGCCGAGCCAAATGATGGTCAAGACAAACATGCACAAATTTAATGACGTGAATTATGTTATGGTTGGAAAGTCAGATATGCTGTGTGATATGTAAAAGCAACAGACATCAATATTGTGTATGTACGAATATGGAAGCTAGGAAACACTTTAGACAACATGAAGGACAAGTTGCTAAGCAAAACTTACCACTGTCTTATTTTTACTTTAGGCTACCACAATTGCAGCAACCAGCACATCGGTGAGACTACTGATTTCAAAGCCCCCCTCATTCATTTTCACCCAGAATCGACCACCTACAAAAAGTTTATGTTGCTTGCTCTTAAAACACGAATATGATGTCAGGAAACTTTGTGACCTCAAATGCCCTCAATAAACATGTCGTTTCTACAGGCCCCCAAACTGACTGGTCAAGTGTGCATGTTCTGGTCAAAAGAAAGCTTGCATCATGCCTGCATATGAAATATCAGCACATGCAGACAACTGCGCACCTGCTGAGCAGGAATGATGGGACGCTTCTAACAATGTACAGTCAACCACAAAAGTTTACGGACCATGCGGGTACAATGTCAAAAGCCTCTTTGTGATATTTCCGCTACATCAGCGGCAATCAACAGCACCACAGTGCCCGAGACTCATTCCTGTCCTAATATGCGACCTGTTTGTTTTCTGAATGGGTGCAAATAATTTTCACCTTTCACTTTCTAATATGACACGCTTTTTGGCACCTGCGTCCCTGTGCTTCTAAGTCTAGAATAGTCTATGGGCATAACTGTTATCATTCACTATCTTAATCACAAAATGATACCTAGTCATCGGAACGCTATTCGAGGTACACCGTGATACCTTCGATCCTGCTATGAAAATAGAAAAGTGAGTCACAGTGCACATAAGCGCTTCATCTGAAAACTGCGAAGTATCGATGCACTATGCAGCAGTAGAAAACTGAGAGGCCTGTGCCTAACAAGACCAGTTTTCGGCCTACCACTGCGGTCAATGGTAGATGACACACCACTAGATGACGCGGAATGGCAGTTTGGCATGCGCTCGCGTATTCCCCAAACTTTTGTATTTGACTGTACTTTCGGTGCTTACGTTCCGCAATTAGGCGTACTTCAGTTTATTTTTTTTCTTCTCATTTTTAGTCGCCTGTTTTCAAAAAATGAAAATTACAAGATCAACAAATATATAGGCAAGGGTCCCAAAGTAAAATAACTGTAGTGGGACGCTGTGTCTTTTTTATGCCTATTATCTTGAACAAGGCTCCCGTAGCGGGTGCCATAATGTCAGTAAAATTTGAAATCTTTTGGTAGGTGTATCCTTTCGCGCCTTCAGTAAAAATCAAAAGTTGCGCACTGCTTTTCTTTTTTCACACAGCTTTTAGCTGTTCCCTATAGTTGCAGCCGAATAAGTGGCTTTTTAAGCTTTGATCTATGGTAACCCTTATTTTTGTGCTGGTCGCACAGGCTACAGTCAGTTTCCATGACCAGGCCAAATTTTTCAGAAATTCCCTCACTTTTCCATGACTTTCCCAGAAGGGTACCCAGACTTCTGCAGGTTTTCCAGGTTCTCCAGGTGGGTAGACACCCTAAGAGAAGACGTTGACACATCAAATTTTAAGCACCGATGAAGAGAATGCGTCAAGTCAAGCCATAACATCGAGCAAGTGAGCGTTGGCTGCATGTGTGGCACACATTTTGATGTCTAATTAGCAGTTACGAGCGGCAGAGCATGTATAAGCAGCAATTTTACTCATTTTGAGGGTCTAAACGTCCTACAGAGATGATTCCTTGCCGGCATCTATTAAGCGTGCTCAGTTTCTTTCGAGATGAGACCTGGGGGTCGAGGGCAGAGGCGCACTCCTGAGTAACGCACGACGCGTCTGGGCTGCAGATTTCTTCCAGCTGTCTTTCAGTGCACAGCTGACCACATGATCTACAACTACAGCAACAAATATGCATGGATGCATATTTTAGAGAGGCAGACATACACAAAAAGAGACCGTTTGTGGAGGAACTTTAGTCGCAATGAAGCGATGAAGTGCATTGGAGTCCTCATCTACATGGGCATTGCTGAGTTGCATCGCTATTATTTCTACTGGAATCCTTCAGAGTTATTTTCAGGCCTAATTCATCCAAAGATTATACCCCGAAGCTGTTTTCTTTTTCGTTCCTTGCTTTTCCAAGTGTCATGGACTTGGAGGAGACAGAACCCATCAGCAATGGCAAGCTGCACAGAATGATAACTCATCTACTACTTTATTCTCACTAAAGTTCGTTTTTGTGGAAAGAACATAGGGCAATTATTTTTTAAACTTGTACAACCTTTTCTGCAACGCAAGAAGCTAGAAATTATAAATATTTAGTTATTTTCATTCTCATTATTTTTACGTTGTAATCCTTTCTAAATGTTAATTGTACAATCACTGTACAAACTTTTCATTATAAACATGTTTTTCTTAATGTGAGTAATAAGTACTCATACAATATTTATGTTATTAGACAGAACATTTAGCTAAAGTTTGGTGCCAAATTATGCATTAGTGTCTAGCTGCAAAAAAAAAAAAATGTTTTTCACACCTAGTAAAAAGCGCCCCTTCTCCGGCAGTTGCGAATGATTTATTAAGAATCCGTTGCGGGCGCACAATGGGTAGACGGGTTGTCTAGGAGTTAGATAAAACTTCACTCTAAACGGCTGCCTGCTTCTGCGTCAGAATGTAATTGCTTCTCATAGAGTGCAATATCGCAAGTGCGACATCAATTACACTATCAGTGAAGGCGCTGCTCCACAAATAAAAGGGCTTCGCTATGCGAGCTCTCGCCTTTCCCATCAGCAGGCGTACTTTGTATCTTTCTCTTTTTTTTTTAAGCTTAGAAAGCTTTAGATATCGTGGCTGTTCTTCTGACCCTGTACCTCAACTTGGTTCCACACGTGCTGCCCTTGGCTACTTTCACGAGTGTGATCTCGTTTGTGCCCCTTCTCATGTTTTGTAGGGCAAACTCACCCCCCCCCCCCCGGGGGGGGGGGGGTAGTCGTGCTAATTGAGTTAGTTGCAAACTTGCAGGTGAGACCTGACGAGCGCTAAACATGTAGCTGCCCTACCGGTAGCAGCCGTAAAAGTGCGGTTTGGTGCCGAGTCTACGAAATTCTTTGGAGTGGTTACATTTGGATAGATATATGAGTGGATAGATATATGAAAACAACTTTCCAATTACGACAACAAAAACTCACATTGTTTATGAAAATAAGAGTGTATTATATGGCACTTGTGCAACATTCGAGTTACAGTTCGCAGTCCCCAATGCATCGAACATCGCTCCTAAAGCAAGCGGATATTCGGGTGTTGCTACGCAGGGAAATTCGGCGCAATTACTGTATACAGTGAAAGCTTGGTGATGTGATCACAGCTCATGCGAATTTTCCTTTGGTCCGGCCAAGGCCCACAAGCCTGCAATGTAATGGGGTATGGTTGATGCTAACAGATTTTCACCCTGCAACGTTTGACACCAACGTACACCACTGCTCAGGTACAAAGACGTGCTACCCGTCCTGTCGTGGAATATGCACCAAGCATGTGCGAGTGCTGGCACACACGAGCGGGCATGCACGCTGCGTACCATATCGTCAATATCACTGAGTAAAAAAAAAAAAAAAACACTTCTCTTACAGTCAGAATACACCTTCAGAGACGCACCATGGCCTGTGAGATTGTGTGCACAATCTCTTGAGGCTCTCATATGCCTCTGTGTGCATTCACATTTAGGTTACGAAAGATATTGGCACCATGTTGTGCTAATCTTGGCCAAGGAGTCGAACCTCAAGACGTCAACATGCGTGACTCTTGAGGTCACACTCGTGCGGGTTACGGCCATAAATCTCCCAAAAGACGTAATTGCGGAACTTTACTGACTATCATTCAGAGTTTTTCTCGACATCACTACTGCCCAGAAAAAGAATACGAATTTCAGATAATACGATTATTTTTGGTGGTCCTGTGAGATTCATATCACGAAGGTTTCATTGCACTCTGTCTTAGTTTTTTTTCTTCCGTCAATTGTTGTATATTCGTCACTCCACTGTGTCAATAGAGCGTTGATCTTTGCTACAAAGCCACTGCCAAGTGGAAGGGGCTGACAGTTCTCTCAAGTTGATTCTGACAGCAGATTTACTGCACCTCTGCTATCTGTAGCTCAACAAAGCAGAAGTTGCAGAACTTGCACATTAGGCTTGCCAAAGACTTCGAACTGATACCACACACATAGGGTTTTCACGCGTGTTTAAGCACACTGAATTTTGTGTCTTTGCATTTTGCCCCTTCAGTCGGAAATCAATTCTGTGATTTCGAGCACACTATACATCAACGTGCTAAGCTACCATGGTGGGTTTCCACATTCAGTAGAATGAAACAAGTCGGCCTTCTATTGTGAAAATACCGTATTTCAGGTTCCAACTTTGAGGAAGCTGCTGCCAAATACCAACATCAGACAGTGAGTGCATTGAAATGCACGCCAATCGTCTGCAGTGTACTTTCCCATATGCGGCTTGCATGTGTATTGAACCACACTCACGTACCAACGGAAAGCCAAGGATGCTCACTTCAACTGATTCGTCGCAGAGTCCAGCTTCTTCATATGTGGTGCTGTCCGCTTCCAAGTGACTGTAGTCCGAGTCTTGCGACTGAGCAGACCGCTGCAAAGGAGAAAGTTATGCCGGTCCTAAGCACCAGGGGAAGGCAAAGTGTAGCACACGTTATCTAGCGTCGCATGATGTTCAACAAGTGTGCAACAATGGGGACTTTTAGCTTGTATGTATACTTCTTCACATTAACGAGTTAGCCAGATAATGGTTCGCATTTACTGTCTTACCAGAACTCATACTTTTCAACGTTTTAGCTCCTCATACGTGTACGTTTAGATATGTGCGTAAACGCGTATACAGTTACGTTTTTACAAACCATAAATGGTGATGCTAACTGCATTTAAGTTACATATGATTGAATCACCACTGCGGCAAAATCATGAGACATTTTTTTATGGTATACAGTATCTTCCCTAGCGCAAAGAGTCAAAAACACAAAGTTACAGCAACGATAGTGTTCACATCTTGATTGATTGATTTGTGGGGTTTAACGTCCCAAAACCACTATTTGATTATGAGAGACGCTGTAGTGGAGGGCTCCGGAAATTTTGACCACCTGGGGTTCTTTAACGTGCACCCAAATCTGAGTACACGGGCCTACAACATTTCCGCCTCCATCGGAAATGCAGCCGCCACAGCCGGGATTTGATCCCGCGACCTGTGGGTCAGCAGCCGAGTACCTTAGCCACTAGACCACCGTGGCGGGGCAGTGTTCACATCTTGTCACGCTTCGTGCAGCCACAGTCATGAACATATTGGCCCACGCATAATGTTTTTAAGGTGAAAATGATTCAAAGGTAACTCATTCGTAATAACACCGCTATGCGGTTTTTACAGTAGACGTATAATGCACGATATTTCTGCAATAAGAATTTTGTGATTACCTGGTTCATAATGGCCCCGCTTGATGGCGCCACCTATCCAGCCTGTCGGAGGCTTGCACATTTACAACGTTGATATTGTCTAGTGTTCTAGGCCATTCTAGCTTTGGTAATCCGGCTTAATCGCTATTGGCACTCGCACTTTGACTTATTTTGACTCGGTGGCTCGAGTCTTCGCAATACAGACACAACGAGTTCCTACGAATGAAGGTAGATTTGCGAGTTATGGCAGGGAATGTAAAGCCTATCCGGCGGGTAGTTTAGGTTTTGTGAAGACCCGCACATGCGCAGATTCTAATCTAATAACACAGTAACATAAAGAAGTTGTAGGTTTATGCCACAGGAGCGAAAGAGAGACACGCCAGAACGATAACCGATGCCAGCCCGGCACGTGAGCTGTGGCTTCACGTGCCACGGCCGAGCGCCTTCTTTATTTTCTTCTGTCGCTATCGCGCGCTCTCCGGTTTGCGCGCCGCCCGAACGAGGGCGCTACAGGGCCCCCCGTGTAGACTGGAAGTCGGAATGTGACATGCCGTTTGTGGTATTCCAACGGAAGATCAGTCGTAGATGAGAGGCTTTCTAGGGCGGTCTCCAGGTACGCCGGCTTGAGTCGGTCCAAGCTGACTGTCTCTTCACGGCCGTTCTGAAGTAGAGTGGCAGTTTTGGGGGTGCGGTGGGGGACGCGGAATGGTCCGTCGTAGGCTGGTGTCAAAGGTGGTCTGACCGCGTCGTGGCGCACGAAAACATGTGTTGCAGTGGCCAGATCAGGGTGGGCGAATATGGTCTTGTGTTCGAAAGGTCTGGGTGGAGTGGGCTGGAGGTCTTGAACGCAGTCGAGGAGGCGTTGTAGGAATTGCTGTGGCTGGTCTGGTAGCTTCGTTGACGTGAAGAAGTCTCCCGGAAGCCGTAGAGAAGTGCCATACACCAGCTCTGCTGTTGAGCACTGCAGGTCTGCCCGGATGACAGCTCGTAAACCTAAGAGCACCAGTGGCAAGGCATCAACCCAGGTGGCTCTATTGAGGCGGGTAGTCAAGGTGGTCTTCAGTTGTCGGTGAAGGCATTCCACCATGCCATTGGCGCAGGGGTGATAAGCTGTGGTACGGCAATGTCTGGCTACGAGGATGCGATTAAGGTAAGTAAACAGCGAGGACTCGAACTGACGTCCACGGTCTGTTGTCACGGTGCCAGAACAGCCAAAACGGGATACCCACGTAGAAATGAAAACGCGGGCAACTGTCTCGGCTGTGATATCTTGAATTGGAACAGCCTCTGGCCAGCGTGTGAAGCGATCGACCATGGTCAATATATAACGGTACCCCTGAGACACTGGTAGAGGGCCCACAATGTCTAGATGAACATGGTCGAAACGACGGCCGGGTGGAAGGAAAGGTTGGGGCGGCGTCTTAGTATGACGGGAGACCTTTGTCATCTGGCAGGGCAGGCACATGCGCGTCCAAGCGCGCACATCACCGTTGATTCCGGGCCAGACATAGCGCTGGGTGAGAAGACGTTGAGTAGCCCGAATGCCAGGAAGACAGATGTCGTGTAAGGAGTGGAAAACGGTGCGTCGTAATGAAGCGGGAACGAAAGGGCGGGGAAGGTCAGCTGAGACATCGCACCACAAGCGCTCAGATGATAATGGATGAGGCACCAGACGTAGTCGGAGAGAACGGGGGTTCTCCCGAAAAGTGGCAAGCTCTCTATCATCCTTCTGTGCCGAGGAGAATGAGGCCCAGTCGATGGTTGGCGGTGGAGAGTCAACCGCGGCTATACAAGAAAGGGCATCTGCGGCGGTGTTGTCAGCTCCTTTCACGTGGCGGATGTCAGTCGTGAACTCCAATATATAAGCCAGATGGCGGAGTTCACGGGGCACGTACTTGGATGAGTTAGTGCGGAAAACATACGCCAGTGGCTTATGGTCAGTCAGCACGTAAAACGAGCATCCTTCCAGGAAATGCCGAAAGTGCTGTATTGCAGCGTAGATGGCTAGTAATTCACGGCCAAAGACGCTGTAGCGGGTCTCAGCAGGAAGTAGCTTCCGAGAGTAAAACGACAAGGGTCTCCACTCGGAGTTAATGCACTGCTGTAAGACGGCTCCGACGGCCACGCTGGATGCGTCCACCATCAACCGAGTAGGGGCGTTGTTGCGTGGATGAATGAGAAGCACGGCGTTAGCGACCGCTTGCTTAGCAGCAGCAAAGGCGGCCTGGGCCTCTGACGACCAAGGAATGGCGGAGGACGGGCCGGCGGTCGACCGAAGGAGGTCGGTGAGCGGTCGTAGCAGTTTGGCACAGTGTGGTATGAAGCGCCTGGAAAAATTCACAAGCCCCAGGAATTGGCGTAATTGGCGCAGTGTTGTAGGCTGAGGATAATCCTGAATTGCTTCAACGTGGGACCGGAGAGGGCGTATTCCTTTGGATGATATGTGATGGCCCAAGAACTCGAGCTCAGATGCGCCGAAAGTACACTTAGAGGCGTTCACAACGAGGCCGTACTGCTGAAGACGCTGGAACAGAGCACGTAGATGGTGCTCATGATCTTCAGGTGTGCGGCTGGCGATGAGGACATCGTCAAGGTATGCAAAACACAGTAGGAAGACCCCGTGTGACCTCAGAAATGAACCGCTGGAAAGTTTGAGCCGAATTGCGGAGTCCAAAAGGCATCCGCACGTATTCAAACAACCTAAAGGGCGTCGTGATGGCGGTCTTAGGTATGCCGGCGGGCTCGACAGGAATCTGGTGGTACGCCTTAACAAGGTCCACTTTGCTGAAGATTGTGCAGCCGTCGAGGTGCGATGTAAAATCCTGGATGTGAGGTAGAGGATAGCTGTCGTGGACAGTCTTGGCGTTCAACGCTCGATAGTCCCCACAAGGACGCCAGTCACCAGGATCACGCTTTGGCGCCAAATGCAGCGGGGAAGCCCAAGCGCTTGACGACGGGCGGATAATGCCGAGCTGCAGCATGTGGTCAAACTCCCGTTTAGCAATAGCTAGACGGTCTCCGAACAGGCGGCGTGGTCGAGCGGCTGCCGGTGGACCCCGGGTGACGATGTGGTGTGTCACCGTATGTTCAGGCGGCTGAGTGAGGTTGATTTGATTGATTGATATATGGGGTTTAACGTCCCAAAACCACTACATGATTATGAGAGACGCCGTAGTGGAGGGCTCCGGAAATTTCGACCACCTGGGGTTCTTTATTGTGCACCCAAATCTGAGCACACGGGCCTACAACATTTCCGCCTCCATCGGAAATGCAGCCGCCGCAGCCGGGATTTGAACCCGCGCCCTGCGGGTCAGCAGCCGAGTACCATAGCCACTAGACCACCGCGGCGGGGCTGAGTGAGGTTGCACGGTTTAGTTAACTCCGGGAAACTCGCCAAGATTTTTTCGAACGGTGAGGAAGGTATCAGCATGCGGATGGCCATTGGAGAGATGTCGGACAGGACTCCCGAGATGGAGAGACGAGTCTTACCATCTATGAGGCGGCGCCGCCGCACGCTGACGTCCAAATCGAAGTATGAGAGGAAGTCCGAGCCGATGATCGGTTGAACCACGTCTGCGATGACGAAAACCCACTGGAAAATGCAGCGAAGGCCGAAGTCGAGGGTGAGAGATCGGAGCCCATACGTTGCTATAGACGAGGCGTTGGCAGCACGAAGCACTTGCCCCTGTGACTTTGAGCGATAAGCCTTAGTCGGGGGCACAACGCTGATATGCGCGCCCGTATCTATGAGGAACCTGGTGCCCGATAGCTGGTCCGTGACCATGAAAAGGCGGCTGGGACGAGAAGGAAGATCACACGCCGCCGTCAGTGATCCCGGCAGGCGTTTCCCTGCCACGGACATGGGGGTGTACACTTCGTGGCTTGGTGTCGGAAACGCCGGTGGTACCATCAGAGGGGTGGAGGGCTGGGACTCCGAGCATCTCGTGTCAGCGTTTCCCTTCCACGAACATGGGGGTGTACACTTCGTGGCTCGGTGTCGGAAACGCCGGTGGTACCAGCAGAGGGGTGGAGGGCTGGGACTCCGAGCATCTCGTGTGCGTGGAAGAGCTCGACGACCGGAACGAGGCGAACGAGTCTTTTGCAGGGGGCTCCGGAGTGCGGCAATGGAGGCGGCGAGTTCGTCGATGCGGGCCTCAAGGCGCGAAATCGCTGTGTCTGCTGGTGGTA